CGAGTCGAGCGCCCTAACCACCTGGCCACGCCGGGCCCACTATGTAACTTATTAAAAAAATGTAGATAAACATTCATTATGATAAGGTTAGGCTAAAGATAAAATGGATGACAAAAGTGATAGCTGTTAGGCCCGAGTATAGTCTAATTGCTAGGATATCAGACTGGAGACCGATGGTATTTGGTTCGAGACGTGGTTCTTTCAAGCCCGCTTTGAACATTTAGGTGTGGATGCGTCATAAGAGTAGCAGTAAATTCTACTATACGGTTAAGAATATCCACTTCTTGGTTGCTGTTATCTTTGACCCACAGTTCAAAACGAAGCTTCCTGACCTGGCCACTTAGTCTTTGGTGTGCATAAGATGTCTTTCAGGTAAATAAACAAAGTATTGTCTGTAGTGAAACGTTATTAAACTTTATAAAAAGGGGCATCAAATGAAATCGTTAGTTTGGAAAGATGGGGATTTCATAGCGTCCGAGTTTAAAAAAAAACAACAACTTATTTTCTTCTCTTAACCAAAAGTAGAACATATTTTCATCTGCGTTGTTTGTAGAATAACTTATTTCATGTGCTATTGTCATCTTAATCCATTTTCTAGAGCCTTTACTGTAACTGTTAACTATTAACTAGAAAAATAAACTTTCCTTGAAAATCATTCTATTTATTTGGAAAGTCATATTTCAATGTTGGTATTTCAGGTTATCTTATACGAGTGTGTGAAGGTGCTCTGAAATTTAAACATTGGTTATTTCAATGATCCAAAATAATTAAATGAAAAAGTGGAAACATAATCATATTTTCTCAGTTAATCAAGTCCTAACCTCATGTAATCCAGTGGAAGTGGTAATTCTGCAATCTACGACGCTATAAATTGGGCTTAGATAACCATGGTAAGTAGAAGAAATATCTTCCATTGTGTAGATTGTGCTTAAGAACAATCAAACCGAACTTCATTCCATTCTGTATCTTCTTATAAATATTATAAATTTCTTTGTTATGCTGTATTTAATTAGGCTTAATTTTTTATTCAAGCATTCAAAGGCAGAAAGACCGTAATAAAACATATTACATTCATCCTATAGATAAATTCACTATATCTCAATGTGCAAGATGCAAAGTTCATAAGCTGTAGAACGTTTTTACTTAGATTTACGAAACAAAAGAGAGTTATAAAATATATTATTTTTGCCCTGGAGTGGATCTCTTTCACTTGAAGAAGTATGTGATGGCTTACTTCTGTTCCTCCATTTCTTTATGGCTGTCAATAAGAATGAGGAACAAACGAAGAAAGCCCCCACGATGCTAGTCCAGGACGGATATTGGTCAAGAAATGATACTCCAAAAATAAAAGCCAAAACGACATCAGCTGTTCTCGCTATAGACACGGGTCCAGCTTCTTCGAACCTTAGTGCGGTCGTCATTAAGAACTGTCCAAATGTTCCACAGAGTCCACAGAGAACTAGTAGAACAGCTTCCTGTCCACAGGATGGAACACTAAGTGTACCTGTGATGAAGAGATAAAGCAGGCCAAAAGTAATAGATGAAAAGGAAAACATGAAAATCACCACAGGAATTGGCGTTTTTTGCAATTTTCGCATGGTTATAAAGGACAATGCTCGCGCAGTACACGAACAAAATGCCATTAGAGACCCCTGGAGGCGATCTGCTGAACTAACCTGGTCTATTGAAGTAATGCCAAATAAAAAAGATGGTCTAGATATCAGTACTACACCTGTTAAGGTAATAATAATTGTGAATATTTGAAATATTCCACACGGTTCTCTCAGGAACACACAAGCAAATAAAGTTATTAATGCTGGACTGCCAAGTACTATAGTGGAAACATCGGCCAATGGAATGAGACGAACAGAGTAGTAACTCATTCCCATGGCAACTGTTCCCACAATAGCTCTTATACAAAGGAACAATCTTTCTCCACTAGTACCAAAGAATGAATTTTGATTGTAAATTATCACTGGTACGCAAAACATCATCTGAATACAACTTCGGATAACTACGATTTCGATTGGATCAACTGTGGTTACAAAGGCGACAATAAATGATGCTGTGGCAAAAAATAATGCGGAGATTAAAGCACACAGAATCCCTAAAAAGGGGATTTTAAGAATTCTTTGAGTTCTGCTCTGAGACGTGTTGATGGTATTTTGATACGATGACAAAGTATTTAGGATCTCCTTCTTCATGGATGCCTCAATAAGTGCTTCATGGCTCTCACCAAGTTTAGGCTTTAATGTTTTGGTTCCAGTTTCCATCTCTTAAGTTCAACACCACATCTGTAAAAAGTAAGCAAATGTTAAAGTGCTATTAAGAGTAATCGTCTTCATTGACACGATATTTTCAAAACGAAGTTAAAATAAACAGCAAAAGAATTAAAGAAAACGATGACGTGCAGTAAGTAAAAATATTGATATTATTTCTTCAAATGTTTAGCTTCGCAACTTTGAAGAGCTGGTATATATATATTTTTTTTCATCTGTAAATCAGATATAACAACTGATGTCAAACCCCTCCACTTCTATTTAATCACCCTTCCCTTTTTACACGACTAGTCCCGTTCCCTCCACTTCTATGTATTTATCCTTCCTTTTTGACACGCCTAGGAAGTACCAACAGAAGACTTCAGCAAAGAATCATAACACTCAGCGTTATGATCCTTTGCTGAAGTCTTCTAAAAAGTGTTTCCTACACATTGTTTTATAGTTTGGGCTTGTGTTACTGCTGTTAGAGTGAGACACTCAGCGTTATGATCCTTTGCTGAAGTCTTCTAAAAAGTGTTTCCTACACATTGTCTTATAGTTTGGGCTTGTGTTACTGCTGTTAGAGTGAGACACTTAGTGTCTCACTCTAACAGCAGTAACACAAGCCCAAACTATAAGACAATGTGTAGGAAACACTTTCTAGAAGGCTTCAACAATGAACAATAAAACATCTTGACGTCAAAAGTTCCATTACAAAAAACAGCAAACATATCCCTATGGTGAGAAAATCTTCCATAAAACAATGATTTTCAAAGCATACTTCAAAGACAAAACGAAAGGACGTGTTGAATTTTAGAAGATTTTGCCATAAAACAAAGACAGCCAGATCTGAACGACCACTAACAAGTCTTTCTTCTGAAATTGATATGTCACTTTCATTATGTTGTTGTATTCGTTATACAGTCGTTTTGTTCCTCAGTTTAGACAGTGTATCACAGAACATCTTGGTAACAAGACGCTGTCAATCGTTTTCTTGTATTAAATAACTTTTAATTTGCACCTTGTTTACATAGAGTTCGTTTTATTTCTTTTTAGCAACTTTGTCATCGTTATTTGTTCAGTCTTTCTCAGTAAAACATTTTCTATCAAACCTCGTGTGTTCTGAACGGGATATTAGTGTAACTGTCAGTACAACAATATTTCTATTTGTCGTCATATACAGCTTTCGACAGCAAGGTCTTCTTACGCTTGTGAACACGTTTGTTGTGTCAGTTTTGTGGACCTAAATCAGTGTGAATTATTTTTCTAACAGTTCCTAGAAAGGTTTATTTTAGCTGTAGCGTTCTTGGGATACTTCCGGTAACAAGGTGTTTAAGGTCTTCGCTACTTCTCATGTGTAACTGATAAATATTTGAAGAGTATTCTATTTTACACCTTCTCTAATCAAATCTCTCTTTGATTAATTAACAAGTTTCTACGCTAAAGATATCAATTTATTCGAGACGCTAAAGTTTCTTACCTTGTACGATTTTATAATCGAAGAAAAGTATAAAACTTTGTGTTGGAAAGACCTTAATAAAACTCTTCCGGGAGGAACCGAGTTTATTTGCTATCTGCATTTACAAATAGCCACACTTCAACTGAGGAGTAACAAAAACGGTCAGGGCTTTTAACCATTGTAGTCACAGGTCAGTCATGAGACTGACCAAAGACAAGGTGACTGAATATGCAAATTGATATCATAGATCGTGAACAGCCCTTGGAACTATTTAGAACAAAATAATGTCTCTAATGTTTTCGCAAAGCAAATTATTAGTGTGGGACACGTAAAACTGGGGTAGATTCATTGGTTATTATTCCCCCTTTCCCTCCCACCCCTCAATGAAAAAAATCATGCTTACAGTCAAGTATATGGATGGAAATTCTGTCTAAAATAAAGAGAGAAGGTGTAAGTAGTTTTCAATGTAATCAGTCATCATAACATCATTATCTCTTAATGAAGCCTTCTTTTTGTATTGCTTCTTTATTCTTATCCTTCCACAACCATTTTTAATGTCAAGGTTTGCTGTAAATCCTAGTCTGAAAATCGATCCATCAAAACCATAAATATAAAATACCAAGCTTTTCGACTTAACAAGGAAGTTCATCATTTTCTTTTATCTCTCACTGAATTGTGCATTTTCGTAGCTTTTTTGCTTGAGATAGAATATACAGATAATTTTATATAAGTCAGTAATTACGTATGAGCAGTGTTCAATTATACAATTCACCGGTTCTGTGAAAAAACGAATTTTGTAGCTAATGTATCTTAAACTCTAGACGTTGTTAAAATAAGACATTACTTACAAACAAAGAAGAAAAAAAAAGAAGCCTTACCGTTAAGAAATGTGCGTATATTTTAATATGACACGAACCAGCATCAATCCAATCACGTGGTCAACATTTTTGGAATACTGCCAGAAACACCCCTTATCGAATACTGCAGTGAAGCTAGGAAAAGTGGGTCTGAATAAACCACACACCCGGTACTAACTTCTAACTATAGTTGATTATGTTACTAACAAGTAGTAAGTTTTATATAAAATTAACATATATACTGATTTGATCTGAGACTAGCTATTAAGGTAAGAGTTAGTAGGCTTTAAGACTTCAAGCTGAAAACTAATGCACAGTTTTCGTGATATCGACAGATAAGGATCTACAATAATAGCAAGAACAACGTACAAACATTATCCTCTTTACGTACATGAAGAAATACAGATAATATTTACTTATACCTTGATCATTATTATCAAGTTTCGATATTGTACTATTCTTTCTTAGGTAAGAACTGGAAACTGTGTGGCTCTGTTTAAGTCACCCAGTTGTCTGAATCTGACACCTGACTTAGACTGAAACCTAGCTTAGCCTGTAATCTGGCTTAACCTGTAGCCTGGATTAACCTCACACATGGCTTAGGCTGAAACCTAGCTTAGCCTGTAATCTGGCTTAACCTGTAGCCTGGATTAACCTCACACATGGCTTAGGCTGAAACCTAGCTTAGCCTGTAATCTGGCTTAACCTGTAGCCTGGATTAACCTCACACATGGCTTAGGCTGAAACCTAGCTTAGCCTGTAATCTGGCTTAACCTGTAGCCTGGATTAACCTCACACATGGCTTAGGCTGAAACTGGCTTAATCTGACACCTGACTTAGACTGAAACCTAGCTTAGCCTGTAATCTGGCTTAACCTGTAGCCTGGATTAACCTCACACATGGCTTAGGCTGAAACTGGCTTAATCTGACACCTGACTTAGACTGAAACCTAGCTTAGCCTGTAATATGGCTTAACCCGACACCTGACTTAGACGGAAACCTGCCTTAGCCTCAAACACGCTTAATCTGAAACCTGATTTAATTTAATACCTGATTTAGTATTAAAACTCAGCGATGTCATTTAGAATTATGTAGTTTTTATCTTATAAGTCCTCAATCCTACCGCTGAACCAATAGGAGGCACTATTATTGAAAAACACACACACAATCACGAAATAACCGCAATTAGTGAAGACACCTAATATTACTTCAATGTATTGTAATTACACTGGCCAACAAGTCATTTTCGTCAGATATAATTATAGATAGCTCTTGGGACGCTGATTCCAAATCTGTTTTTGGTTTTCCTCTAGTATGTCAAGGTTTTGTGATGAGACCGATCAAGTTTAAAAGGT